CCAGTGCCCCGCAGAAGGCTTGCATCTCTTTTCTTCTGTAGCCTATGAAACAAATGTTTGTAATGCCAGGAACACTTTTAAAACTCATTTAATTTTTGAAATGCCTTAACCTTAACCTGTTTGCATGTATAAGGCATAGTGACTCCAGTAAGTATACCTTGTAGAGAAGACTGTCAGAATTTTGCCCCAATTTTGGTTTAAAGAAATCTGTGTGTGTGCCTTAGTATGCCTCTGCATGTATCTGTTAGCAATAAATGGTTCCTTTACAGGGTACAGATTCTAATTCCATGAATATGAGTGCTTAATTTCATGGAAGATCATAGGAATTAGAAACATTTTAGACATGCATAAACTGACAAGAAAAAGAAGCTCTTGACTGCATTTGTTGAGACTATAGGTTATGGTAGTATTCAGGGGTTGAAAATTAAGAATGCAAGAATAGTACTGTTCTTGAATTTTTGGAAATCTGTTGCCAAGTGGTTTATGTCAGTGACCAAGTACATAATGAATGATATAGACAAAGTATTTGGCTCGTATGTTCTCCTCTGATAAAAGAAATAGCAAAGCAAAAAACAGCTAAAACTAACCTGGGTCATGGTAGGCAGACAGCAGTGGTTTTTGTAGTATGTTGCGTGTTTCTAAAGATCCCCTGGAAACTTGCTGCGATAGAAAAGTCATAAAAAGATGGACCTGGGTGGTAGTAGATTTTTGTTATATCTTTCCAATTTCCATATCCAACCCACACCCTCCAGACTTCCTAGGATTTATCTACTGAAACTAACGCCAAACCTATTCCATTAATTTGTGGTGAATCTGCAGCCTTCAAAGGGCATTCATTCTTCGTCATCAGGAAACAAGGGATGGAAAGAGACATCACCTTCTATTGTCTTTGTGCTGTCATAAAACTGTTTATGTTGGCACAAAGACCAAGTAACCAGATGTTCATGTCATTTGTTGCACCACAGATGACCAAAATATGTGCCCACAACAAAGGTGGTATTAATATGTACAACTTTATTGCAGCAGGCGTCCTGCGCAAGATGGGGCCCCTCAAGCCCCATGATAGAGAGATGCACTCTGAGATTTCCTCTAAGTAGGAAAAGCGAGGGTTTCCCATTTGCTGAAAAGCCCCTCAGAAAATCATGGAACATATCTCTGCAAACAGGAAACCCTAGCTTTCCCTGCTTACAGAGACACAACCCAGAAATTCCCTTGGGATGCATCTGTGTAAGCAGGGAAATCTGGGCAGATTCTTTGGGAGCTTCAGGGGCCCAGTCCTATGCAGGATTGGGCCCCTCAAACACCAGGAGTACATGTGGCCCCTTGTTCCACAGCATGAACAGGTGAGACAATGGGTGATGTGTTTTGCCCAGAGAAATAGAAGCATAGAAAATGAGGGTTGGAAGGGACCTCAGGAGATCATCTAGTCCAACCCCTTGCTCAAAGCAGGACCATCCCCAACTAGATCATCCCAGTCAAAGCTTGGCCAAGCTGGGTCTTAAAAACCTCCAAGGATGAAGCTTCCACCATCTCTCTGGGTAACCTGTTCCAGTGTTTTACTACAATTCTAGTGAGTAAATTCTTCCTAATATCTAACCTAAACTTCCCTTGCTGCAACTTGAGACTGTTGCTCCTTTTCTGTCATCTGCCACCACTGACAACAGTCTAGGTCTATCTTCTTTCAAAACCCCTTTGGGTAGTTGAAGGCTGCTAGTAAGTCCCCTCTCAGTCTCCTCTAGACTAAATAAGCCTGGTTCCCTCAGTCTTTCGTCATAAGGCATGTCCCCCAGCCCCCTCACCATTGTTGTTGACCTCTGCTGAGGGTGCATTCTGTGCCATTTTCCAGGTCATTGATGAAGATATTTAACAAAACCAGCCCCAGGACCGACTCCTGCGGCACTTCAATTGATACCGGCTGTCAACTAGACATCAAGCTATTGATTACTGCTCTCTGAGCCCGATGCTCCAGCCAGTTTTCTATCCACCTTACAGTCCATTCATCCAGCCCACGCTTCCTTAGCTTGCCTGGGAGAATGTTGTGGGAGACTTTATCAAAAGCCTTGCTAAAATCAAGGTATATCATATCCTCTGGTCTCCTTGCATCCACAGAGGCAGTCACATCATTATAGAAGGCAATCAGGCTGGTCAGGCATGACTTGGTGAATCCATGCTGACTGTTCCTAATCACCCTCTTCTCTTCCAAGTGCTTAGAAATGAATTCCTTGAGAATCTGTTCCATGATTTTTCCAGGGACTAAGGTGAGGCTGACTGGTCTGTAGTTCCCTAGATCCTCCTTTTTCCCTTGCTAATATAGGCACTATGTTTGCCCTTTTCCAATCATCCGGGACCTATCCTGATTGCCCTGAATTTTCAAAGATGATAGCCATTGGCTCTGCAATCTCGTAAGACAACTCCCTCAGCACCCCGTGCATCTTGTCCGGCCCCAGGAATTTGTACACCTCCAGCTTTTCTAGATAGTCCCTAACCTGTTCTTTCAGCACTGAGAGCTGCTCACCTCCTCCCCAAACTGTGTTGCCTGGTGCAGTAGTCTTGGAGCTGATGTTGCCTGTGAAGACTGAGGTAAAGTAGGCACTGAGCACTTCAGCCTTTTCTGGATCCTCTGTCATAAGTTTGCCTCCCTCATTCAATAAGGGACCCACACCTTCCCTGATCTTTCTCTTGCTACCAGCATACTTGTAGAAACCCTTCTTGTTGCTCTTCATGCCCATTGCTGGCTGCAACTCCAACTGCACTTTGGCCTTCCTGACTTTATCCCTGCATGCCCAAGCAATGCTCATATACTCTTCCCTATTTATTTATCCAAGTTTCCACTTTTTATAAGGTTTCTATCTGTAATTTAGTTTACTGAAGAGTTCTCTGAGAAGCCAAGCTGGTCTTCTGCCATACTTGCTAGTCTTCTTGCGCATCAGGATGGTTTGTTCCTGCACTCTAAGTAAGGCTTCTCTGAAGTACAGCCAGCTCTCCTGCACTCTTCTCTCCCTCAGATTGGCTTCCCAGGGGATCTTGCCCATGAGTTCCCTGAATGAGTTGAAGTCTGCTTTTCTGAAGTCCAGGGTCCTTACTCTGCTGCTCTCCATCCTTCCTTTCCTCAGGATCCTGAACTCAATTATCTCATGGGCAATGCTGCCCAAGTTGCCGTCCACTACTACATTCCCCACCAGTTCATCCCTGTTTGTGAGCAGCAGGTCGAGAAGAGCACAGCCCCTGGTTGGCCGCTCCAGCACTTGCACCAGGAAGTTGTCCCCAATACTCTCCAAAAACTTCCTGGATTGCCTGTGCACTGCTGTATTGCCCTCCCAGCAGATGTCAAGGTGATTGAAATCCCCCATGAGAATAGGCCTGTGATCAGGAAATTTCCACTAGCTGTTTGAAGAAAGCCTCATCCATCACTTCCTCCTAGTCTGATGGTCTATAGCAGACCCTCACCATGACATTAGCCTTGTTGCTCTCCTCTTTAATCTTAACCCAGAGACTCTCAACTGGCCTGTCTCCAGTTTCATACTGGAGCTCTGAGCAATCATATGGCTCTTTTACATAAAGTGCAACTCTTCCTCCTCTTCTCCCCTGCCTGTCCTTCCTGAACAGTTTGTACCCATCCATGACAGTGCTCCAGTCATGCGAACTATCCCACCAAGTCTCTTTTTCCAATCACGTCATAGTTCTGTTACTGTGCAAGGACTTCCAGTTCTTCCTGCTTGTTTTCCAAGCTCCATGCATTTGTGTACAGGCACCTGAGGTAACTAGTCGATTGCCCTGATTTCTCAGGAAGTATGAGAGCACCTCCCTCTGTTCCTCCCTCCTGCTTGCTCTTCCCTCAGGTGTCTTGCTTCCCCACTTACCTCAGGCCTTTGGTCTCCATCTCCCGGGTTAACCTATTTTAAAGCCCTCCTCACTAGGTTAATGAATCTGTCTGCGAGGATGCTCTTCCCTCTCTTCATCAGGTGGATCCTAGCTCTTTCCAGAAATCCTTCTTCTTGGAACAAATGGATCTGCTGTGCTGGGACACATCCCAGCATAGCTGATCCACTTGTTTTGGTGATGTCTATTTCTAGCCTGTGACTGCTTTACTATTTTGTGAAGTTCAGTCTAGGAAAGTATTGGGTTTCCAAGCAAGCACTCATCCTGCTCTTCATTCTTCCTAAAATGGGACATCCAGATATGTGTCTAAACACTGTCCAACTACCAGATTGTAAACACTGTTTGGTGATAGAATTAGATTATTGATATTCAGTGAGATGAACTTTACAGTTTCATTGCCCTGGGCAGGTTTTCCCCATCCCATCCCAGGCCATCATTTGGTTATAAAAAAAGTACTATCATTTCTGTTTTTCATGTTCTCAATGGGCCTGATTTCAATAGAATTAAGATTTTTTTTTCTTACTTGGCCCCTATCAATAAATAAAAATTGTAATAATTTCAGCAATCAGAAATGAGCATTGGGTCCGAGGTATATATAGAGTAGTTGAGATACAAAAATATATTTCCCTACCTGATGATCTACTGGAGTATTTTACTGGAGAAAGTGAAGTTCACATGTCTGTCAATATCCTCCATGTAAAAAGGAATTCAATTTTCCATTTCCACGCATATACAGAAAAATCCTGGCACAAACTATCTGAAGCATCAGTCATAGAATTATATCATATGAGAGCATGAGGAAACTACTTATGAATAATTTAAATTATGAGAGATACTGGAAAACATAAGATTCTCTTTAATGTGTTTTAGTTCCAGACGGTGTATTAGTGTATAAGATCAATAACCAGATTCCTTTGCAGTCCTTCCTACATTAAACCTAAAATCTGGCAACAAAAACAGAGGTAGATTGCAATAGAATGGACCTAAAGCAATAGTCTGTTGAGAAAAGCAGCACATTTGGCATCTCAGAATTTGACACTGGGCAAGCTTGAGTCACTAACTTACTGTTGTGTACTTTCTCGTGAGGACTTTACGGTGTTTTCTCTCCTATTTTCCTACAGATTGGATGAGCTAATAAAAAAGTTTCTTGAAGATACTGATCGTGAGAGTACACTGGACGTTGGACCTGATATGCGCAAGATCAAATATTGTTTTAATCATGTAAAGGTATGTTCTCTACCTGTGTAAGGATGTGTGGAAAGCCCCACAAATGAACTGAAAGCATTAGAGGACAGAGGAGGAAAGAACTGGAAACCAGTGACAAAGTTTTGGAAAACAGAGAAGTGTATGTAGGGGCTCAGCAGGTCTGAGAAATTCTTGGCAGACTGGAATAGATTTGGGAAATAGATGGAATATACAGTTAGGCTAGCAACAGATGTTGCATTTGTCCCTGGACAAGTTGTAGCTGTGCTTATCCTGAAACAGAAATATCCTGGGATTAGATTGTACATGCATCATCCTTCTAATCAGGGTTTAGTGAGCAGCTGAATGCACTGCCACTTTTCTGCCATTGATTCAATGATGCAGTCCCAGGATAACTCTATAAACATATTTTGCAATATCCCAGGATAAACTGTTTGTACCTCTTATTTTGGAAACTTTTTAGGACTTACCTTTGAACATGGGTGTCTGTATGATTGCCCTCTGTCCCCAGATAGCATTTCTCTTAGGCTAGACAATTCTATGTCAGTTTTGCAGTAGCGTATTAGCATGGCTTTTTGCCTGGGACGCTGCTTCGCAGTGTTATTAGGCTACTGTGCAATTAGCATCTCATGTAGCTGCTCCCACTGATTTACAGTCAGCCACTGAAAGGATTTTCCTTTTCAGAGATCCCTAAAAGGACTTTCAAGCCTGTTAGCCTAAGTAGATGGTCACACAGCAATAGGGGAAATGAACAGAGTAAGAATAATATAAAAAGAATATCCTTTTTTATTTCATAGCAACTGATGAGTCATGCAAAGATTCCTGATAAAAATCTTCTTGCACCTGACATCACTGGAGACAAGACTGTTTCAGTGGGGAAAGAGGAATTGAAGAAACTGAGAGAAATTCTTCAGCAAAGAGACAATGAAATTAGTATCCTTCATGAAAAGAAAGTATTTACACTTAAATTGATCTGGTTACAATCTGAGGTGTGAGTGTATATGAAGTGGGATTGTTCCTTCCTTCCAATGTCAATATACTACTCAAGTTTTCAGTTTTCTCTCTCTGTTTAGCAGGGTCCCAACTTTGGACTAGGTCCTGTTTCAGTTCTGGACCAAGTCAAAATGCTGGATCTAATTGTGCCTGAGCGTTAGGAGGTTCTGACCCAGATCCAAACACGTGGGTCTAAAAACTTCTCCACAAGCAAATGAAAATATGTGTCTAGAATGGAAAACTGTGATACTATATAAAGAACAATTTATTACCTTACAAAGAATAGAATTTCCTGTAAGTGTTATTTTTAGCCAAATGAAATGCTGCTTTGGGGACTACTGGACTCTGCCTTTAGAATAAATGTAAAACTTGTGTTCTTTACATCCAACTTTAAAATTTAAATTAAAGCTGGAGCTTTATTCTATGTGCTTATTTAAAAAAATAAACTACTTAGATGTGCTTTGTTCATTTTACTGACTCACAGGAAAAAATTGAGTAGCTGGAGCCTAGCAAGATGTAGAAAGGGCAGTTATTTTTAGCTGGTTGACAAAATTGCAGGCAGACCACAGCATTACCATGTCTCTGAGTTAGTGGCTGATCTGTAGGCAAAACTTGAATAATGGAAGAAAATTGGCAAATAATATGTAAATTTATGGAGAGCAGAGATGCTTTAGAATTCAGCTTTATTAAAAAACAAAATTAACTGCATTCTTTGTGTTCAACAGTTCCACATAAGTTTGCTATTTTAAATGTGAGAGGGTTCTGCTTCTAACTGATGCTTTATAGTGATGAAGTTAAATGGTAGGAACACTTCTTAGCTCCTGCTGCATCCAACACCAGAGACAAGATGGTCATTGTAAAGAAAATTAGCGAGTTAATTTGGCTATAAACTTGGCTTAGAACACCTTTTAGCTTTTAACCTCTGGGTCTACTAGAAGTGTTGCTTCCTGATATAAATCATTACATTAGTTTAAAAAAAAAGTAGTGAAGCAGCAACAAAACACATACCAAATAGTCACATACACTTGCGCCAGATGTACACACATGGCTTTGTTTGTATAAATACAGGGAGGACATATTTGTTGCAATAGTCAGTTTTAATCAGAGCTCCATAGATTTAATATTTAAAGCTGCATGCAGACATTAAAATATATATATATATATGCTTTGCCAGAAGAAGCAGTGCGTTACTTTGACCCAGCTCCATACTGTGTGTATAGACTGGACGTTTCAGTGGGACTTTTTAATGCTTTTATCTAAATCTGATTCAGTGAGCTATTAGATAAAAGTACCAAAAAAAGCCCCACAAAAGCATGTGATCTATATAGATGTTTGGCTAACTGGGTCCAACGAGCATGATGCCTCTTCTGGGCATGTGCTGGGCTTGGCATGGGGGCACATGAAATTTAAAGTAAAGCATGGTTTTTTGTTTTTTTTTAAATAGCTGCAAACAGCCTAAGGTACCAAGTTAAACTCAGAACTTATTTACTAGGCACAATAAGTGGATATTTCAACCTAAACAATTGTACAATTTACAACTAAAATGAACGCTGTGATTGCTGGGATGAAGGTATTGGAACTAGTTGTTCTGTCATTTACTTATGAGAGTTCCCAAGTACTTTGATAGTTACTAGGAGCTATGATAAGAATAACTTCTTAAGGAAAATCATTTTTATACCATGTCAACTTGATAATATTCCTCAGATATTGCCTAATTTTTTAGCATGCATTTACCTGATACTTTTTGACACTCTTCATTTTAATCTTAATGCATCTCATATGGATTCAAACTACCTGACTGGTTTTTGCTAAATGTTAGCTGAATTTCATTGAAAAACCTTTATGCTCCTTATTTAAAATATTTGATACCAAAAATCTTTCTAATGACTATGTAGTATAAGTGGCAGGTGTTTATTTAAATCCATGATTTGTTTCTTTCTAGGCCTTTCTTTTATTCTGTGCTTGTCAATCCACCTCTGAAATTTCAGATTTCCAACCTGCAGTTTAAGCTTGGTATGAATCTTGTAAGGCATAAGATAATGTTTCAGTGTTGTGGAATAATAAAACTAGATAGAATGTCACCTATTTGGAAAGAAAAATTAGATTTTAACATTTCAACTTTTCAGCAGGGCTTTAAAATATTTACTATATTTATCAAAGCATCGATTGAGTAGGATAAATGGCTGTAAGTGATTTTACTTATGCTCACAAGAAAATGAATTGACTATTGGGAACATTAGTACAAATACATATACTTACAAAATATGCTACCGACTTTACAAATTTATATTCACTTGAATAAATTTTGCATATCTAAATAGTTAGATATTAGATATTCTGTTAGATTCAACAGGGCTACTTGCATGAGCAAGGGTTTGACAGCAAAAGATTAATATTGTTTTCAGAAAGACAATACTAGGTAATTTCCTTAAAATGCCCTGCAGATATTCTAGTACACATGTTAAAGAAAGAAAAAAAGAAAGCACAAGATTCCCTCTTTCAGCTCAGCATTGGCTCTAGTGATCATACAACCCTGGAGAGTTCTCCTTCTGTAAGCTTGGAGGGAGGTGAGAGAACATCTACCTGTGATAATGTAAAAGAGGCAAAACATTTCAGTCCTTCAGTACACAGAGCTTCTTTTCTTCTCAGGCGAACAGGTTAGTGAAATTAATTTTTCATACAAGTATCTAGTTTTCTCATTGTGACCTTTACTACTGCTGTCCCTAGCCAAGCCAAGATCCCCATGCAGCTGCTGCTGCAGTCCACAGCTGGAGAAAGGCAGGGAGAACTCACCGACTTCACCACCTCCCCCTCCTCCCCCCGCCCCGCTCCTAGCTGCCTGCATCAACTGGAGATAATGGCAGGGGATAGGTTACTGCTTCCACCACCTGCTCCTGGCCACTGGAGATCACATTTGGGGAGCAGCAGGTGCAGAAAGACAAAACCCTCTTGTCGCTGCTGCTGTCTGCACAGTACCCTGTACAGAGCTGTGGCCTGTCAGCAGCAGAGCGGGAGCTGCTCTGGGGCACCCCTGCTCCCAGGTCAGCTGGGGATGGCAGCAGCAGTGGAAGGGGGTGCATTCGCACCACTGCACCCCCCTGGATCCACCTTTTGTCAATAGCAATGCACAGGTAGTTTTCAATAACAGTCATGAATCATGTGTTAAAGAACCTACTGTGTATAAAAAGACAATGGCATTCTCTCTCAAGATTTTTAAGCAATAATATGCTCAGGAATGCTGTTAAGGACGGTAGGAGTTTGTGACAGAGGCAGTAGCCTTGGACGCCGATTATGAGGGAGTGCAAGAATAGTAGCTGCTGTCACCACTGCCTGCGTGGCCACTGCAGCTGCTGCTGGGGTCAAGATGCAGAAGCTGCTCATCACACCTCTGGCTGAGGATGCTATTCATTATATAATCGAGGAAACAACATCCTTCTTAAGTGCTAGATTTTAAAAGGAAAAGGCAAAACCATTCATATTGATGGAAATCAATCCAAGCATCATTAGTTGCATGAACTCTTTTAAGAGACAACCAGTAAGTTTCAAATTCTTTCTTGTTTTTTCCTTCAGTATAAGAGTAATTTTTCTTCAGTTGAAGAAAAAGTTTAGTTCTGCTTCCAGCAGTGTCACATATCCACACACAAATCTCAGCTGAAGGCCTTAACCTTTAAGGATATTAACATTTATTCTTAGTTTTTAGAGTAAGCATCCGTGGTGTTCCACATAATACAGGGCAACCCTTGGCTTTACTCAACATTTTTCATAAAACATTGTAATAGTCTTTATTGTAATGGTTTTTATTAAAGCTAAAACAGTCAAATAAACTTGTTGCCCTGTGGGGTCAGGCCAACTCTCAGACTCTCAATATTGCGCTGTTAGACAGGAGGGTGTAACACAATTGCACATATAGAAACACACAAATCAATTAGGTGCATACGTACACACACTACCAGCTCAGGCACATACACATCCAAACCAGCCTAGGCACATGCATACCTATCACCAATTCAAGCACACACACACAGACACACACTCACAGTTCACACACATACAACCCACCTACACATACACACAAGTAAGTTCCCAACTTGGATGGGACAGTGTGTATGTGTGTGCTTGGAGTACCTGGAATAGTTGAGGGAAAGTTCAGGTGAGAGAGAGGAAGTTAAAATGTAGGGAGTGAAAGTTGCCAGAACCGGGATTAGAACCAGCGGACTATAGAGAAGCTGGCTGAGGAACTGAGGCTTAGGTTTACTTAAGGTAGACTGGGGCTGGAAACTGAGACAGACAGTTGAGGTATTGAGTGGGGAGGGCAGATAAGTGGTGGCAAGGAGGAGACAGCCAGGAAAGAAACTGAGGCAGAAACCTGGTTGCTCAGGGGAAAAGGACAAAGCAGTGGGGATAAGACAGTGGCAAAGAAACAGGGGGTTTGGAGGCAGAGAGGAGCTCAGGACAGGTGTTAGAGGTGGCAGTGAACCAGAAGCAGGAGAGGGAGAAATGAGACAGAAGTTAGAGGGGTGAGGCGCAGAGATTGGAGCAAGGCCAAACCATAGTAAAGCAAAACCCAACTTAGGGGTCCAAATAACAGTTGTATTACACAGACAACACACTACACAGCCCCATGAAGTTATTGGTTCACACGCACACACACTCTCTCTCTCTCTCTCTCATAATGGCAGCAGAAGAGACTCAGTGGAAGGGCTGGAGTCCAGGTGGGGAAGAGAAGCAGAGTCCAAGTCCTTGGTTGAAGAGGGTAGTAGGGGGTGATAGCTACCTATCCAGGCTGGAAAGGGGTCCTTGTTGAGTAGGTGTTGTCCAGAGGGGGGTTCGCCGGCAGGGCCTCTGGGTGGATAGGTGGTGTGGCATGCTGCTGGTCCCACTGGGTCTGTCTTCATTGCCCCCTTTTATAGGGGCAGACCTTGTGTGACCCTAGTGACAGGAGGCATGCCCAGGCAAGGGTCAGCCCCTGGCGTCCTGAGCATGTGTGCTCCATGCAGGGATGTGCACTTTGGGGTGTCTGTAATGGTGGGGTACAATGGTAGAGTTGCTGGTTCTGCAGGGTCTTTTGTCTTTCAAATGTTGGGTTCTTGTCTCTGTTCCTGGGTGAGGTCCGTGGTTCCTAGATGAATCAGTGCAAGGTGATGGCCCAGTCATTACAGGCCATTCAGTAGAGGCCTGCTACCATTGTATTTCAGTCATTCCCAGTCACTCTCATTCATCCAGGAACCAATTTACATGGGAGGGATACGTGACTCATACAGTTGCAACGCGGGGGATGCCTGGGCAGAGGATGCAAGATGGAGACTTGACATACAAAATAGAAACTTTACATTACTTTGGTTCACTTACAAACACAGACCTAAACCATACAATATCCGTATGAAACAATAAAATCAATATGAAAATGATAATAATACAATATACAACAGTAAGAATCAATACAAACCTAATAATAATACAATATAAAAGAGAGCGTATATATATCTTATATATATATATATATATATATATATATATATATGTGTGTGTGTGTGTGTGTGTGTATGTATATTGTCACAGGGAGAGGCAAACCGGAGAGACTCCCAAACCCACAAGGGGAACCCTAGGGCCAGGAGCGGGGGGTGGAGCAAGAAAAACGAAAGTAAAGAAAAATTACTCACAGCAGGACTCAAGGAAAAGCAAAGACTATGGGGGAAGCCCGTGCGAATTTTTAGCCGCACCTTTATTCAGCTGCGGCCGGTGGATGACGTCAGCCCCAATCACCAGTCGATGGAAATAAGAGGGCCAGCGGTTGTGGGGGGTATGCCGAGGGAGAGCCCGACCGGTGGAGTCACCCAGGGGTGCGGGACGCCGGGAGAATCGACAGTCACCAGTCGTGAAAGAGCAGACGACCCAGGCAGCGAGCCAGCACCCGGAACAGGAGTCCCAGCGACAGGCAAGGCAGGAGGCAAGTCGGTAAGAGGACTCAGGGCGCGGGGAGAAGAACGGTGCTGGGAAGACCCAGAGAGAGGGCAGCTGCGAGGGGAAGACCCAGAGAGAGGGCAGCTGTGCTTGGAATACCCAGAGAGAGAGCAGCTGCTCTGGGAAGACCCAGAGAGAGGGCAGACGCATCTCAAAGTCCCAGAGAGAGGGCAACTACGCTGGAGGTCTCAGAGAGGGGTCAGCAATATTGAGAGGACCCAGAGAGAGGGTCACAATAGCGGGAATGTGGAGGGAGAACAGCTCTAACCTGGGCAGGGGGAGCTGAGCCACGAAGCTGGGTCACCTAGAGAAGGCCCTGTCAGTGAATTGATGTGTGGAAGGGCTATCTGTGCTCTGCAAGGAAGCCCAGTAGTGGTGTGGTGGTTTTCTTAGGATTCGTTAAGTCTTTTTCTTTGACTAGAGAAGGGTATTTTATGTTTCCCCGTGTCGGAAGGAGCTGAGGTTGAGTGGAAGCAGGAAAAGCGGGAAGGCGAGCGGAGGGCTCGTTGTTTGGGAAGTGATTGGGGAGCACGAGGTCGGCCACAAAAGCGACCGGGATCCGCCAGGCTGGGTATAGGGCGAGGTATAGGGGAGGTGGAGCCTCGCAGAAGACCCCAAAGGAGCAGGCATCTAACGAGGGCAACTGCGCTGCACGAAGCTCCCCACTGTAAGAGATTCAAAGTTGTGGCATGCGAGAAAGGGGCAGCTTGCAGCACTTGTAAAGACCTCCTGTAAGACCACCTGCAACGGCAAAGCAAGTCCCGGTGAACACTCAAACTAAGGAAGCCCGGAACAAGATGTTTGAGGCCCGGCAGGTGCATATATATATGTGTATATGTATATATATGTGTGTGTACGTGTGTGTGTGTGTGTGTGTATTAAAAAAGAAAAACTGGAGGTTTTGCTACAAACTCAAGCCTCAATTCAACAAATTCTTTCAACAGGTGACTAACTTTATAACCAATGTGAGTACCACTATTAATCTTAACTATCTTATTGACTTGTGACCAAAGTACATAGTAGTGATGCCCAACCTTTCTGGGCTGAGCCATATTAGAGGTGCAGGGTTGGTTCCTGGGCTAGATCCAGTGCATGGCATCAGTCTGTTGGCTTAATCTAGCATGGGGTTGTACAGGAACAGTCCAGCACATGGCCCCAACCTGCACACTAGAGTGGGCCCACTGCTGTGCCCCATATGCTCTGGATTGGACCCTGGTTCTGGTCCCACATGTGCTAGATCGAGCCCTAGCCCCACGCATACTGAATTGCACCCACTGACTTGGCCCCAGTTCCAGCCGCATGAGCACCAGATTGGACCCGCAGCCCCAGCCTTGGTCTTGGGCATGGCAGATCAGACCCAATAGCCCAGCCACACATGCCAGCCCAGTCTGGTGCACAAGATCATGCTGTCTGGCCATGGGCTTGGAAATATGGTGGTGGGGGAGCAGTGGCAGCATTAATTACCACTGCTGCCGAGATGCAAAATTTCCAGACCTCTGGGGAGCCCCGTGGGCCAGATATTACCACTCCACAGGGCAAAGTTTGAGTAGCACTAGTATGTAGGAGCAAAAGCAAAATTCATGTATACCCCCACACCTCTGCTAAAGAGGAGGTTTTGCTGCTCTCTGTAGCAGGGGTGTGGCCCTCTTCCTTGAATCACTGGAGTGTATTTTAACAAACCTTGCAGGAGCAAGAC